AAAATTTGGTTTGGGTTATATAACGTAACCCAAACCAAATTTTCGTTTCGAATTAAACTTTAACTTTAAATATCTCAAAAATTATAAGAGACAGCTGATTAAGTTATAAGGAAAAGTTACTCAGGATCATGATCTTGACAACATATATCAAGGTCAAAATCGTTGGATCCGTTTTTATAAAGTTTTATTATCATGTCCAATACTTTAAAGTGATATATCTCGAAAACTATTGGTCGGAAATTTTTTTTACTATTTTTCCCGTGTTCCTCGTCAAAAATGTCTTCGGAAACGACCTTTCAAATAGAGGGCCACAGTTATCGTAATCACCCCATATTTCTTATAATTTTAAGACTTTACGCGCATATAATATATACTCTAAGTACTATATTTAAATTTTTACTGCGCTTCACTGATAAGAATGCAGGGAGATCATTACAATAACACAAATAGCAGGAAATTATCATCCTCCGGACTTGGAAAGAGAGTTGATTAATCTGCGTTCCACAAAAAAATTAAAGATCAGAGATGAGTTGTAGAGCGAATTACAAAAGTTCAACGGCCCAGAGATGAGTATCATATCAGCAGTTAACGTCATTAAATTATATCACTCTTGCGTTATGTCGGCAAAAACTCAACAGAGATATAATTAGTCTTACTAAGACTGCTGGAATGCACAATGGACCTAATAATCCAAAGTCTAAAATGACTCAGCTCTGAGAAATCTATATCTATAATAGATAGAAGCTCGCTATATGCCATGCACGCGATTATAATGAGATATATAATAATTGTATGTTCATTTAATATTATCAATATACACGATGATTCTGTTAACAATGCAACAAGCAATTAAAAATATAAGTAATAATGTATGTAAGTCGCGTGAAATAATTTCATAGTCACTAAATTAAAAATTCACTAACCCTGATACAGAAAGAGAATTTATCTAGACAACATTGCTAGAGAAAAACAGATTAATTCTAATAATAGAAGAGGAATAAATATTATGTACCATGTGGAATATAAAACTGTGAAGAATTTTAATATAGACAATTCTTATCTTTTTAATAATATCAAAATGGCAGTCATTGAAATGAATATAATTTATTATCGAACATATATTATTGAAATAAAACTTTGTGAAAAAATCAAATAAATATACTCTGCGGAAAAAGAGATTCATAGAAATTATATATACACATAGTCCCGATTTTAAAATAAATAGAATAGTTTCGAATAATTTTATAGCGAAAAATACGGACTCGTTAATAATGGAAAAGAACAACCAGCGTAATTCCAATGTAATAAAAAGATTGTATATGTATGTCAATAGCGTGATAACGTTGAAACATCAAGTCTGAAATTGACACGAAGGTCCCACTTTGTAAGAGAGATAACTCATAAAGCAAAATTCCGCATTACGTATTTTCTCTTTTTTCCGCATTACGTACTTCGCTTTTTTTCGCATACGAACTTTGACCGAGTTCGAAAAGTTTTTTTTATTCTTTTCAAGACAGAGACGAGATATTGCCGTAGAGCGTGATGTCGATCGTAATAAGGTCGGTTCAACAACGTTGTTGCCCCCAACGATACACGTGTTTAATCGAACTATTATCAAATTGCCATCATTAAACACACGCGCACACTATTATTACACTTCCCTTACTGCGATTTTCGGATTAACGGAATTCGATCTTTGAAGAAGCGCGCGATACGTATTTAGGAAAAACCGTGCGAATAAACGATTATATATATTGTACATATATATGATGTATATATAATGTACACGGAATTTAGATGATAATCAAAACATATGTAAATTTAATTTTTAATTACAATTATTAGAATGTCATGTATTAAAGAAAAACCGACTATAAATTCATCAAGGAATGTGTCAATAAAGATATAACCGCGAGTTTTTTCAAACATTCTGTATTTTCGATTAATCCCATACAGCACAGAACATTGCAGCAATATTGCAGCAACATTGCAACATTGCCGCAATGTTGCTACAATGTTGCAATATTGTTGCAATGTTGCTGCATGGAATCTTTCTTTGACGACAATGTCGCGATAAAATTATATTTATTCGCATAATTGTATTCTTTATTTTGATAATTTAAAGTAAATTTTAATGATTAATTAAACTTGAATTATAAAAATATATAATATCGAAAATTGAAAAAATATATGCTGGTGAATGGTGACTTTTGTCCATATTTTTCCTAGGAAAAAATTCAGAATTTAAAACATGAAAACGTATACTTTTTTCAAATATAATGCGTGATTAAGAGAATGATAAAGCAATTAAAATACTCTTGCCCAGTGAGAAATACCGATTGGAAAAATGCATCTATTAAACGCATTTAAAATGAAATTGATTGAACATGTTTACATGCAAAACTTTTCGTAAAGTTTTTCATATTAATATTCCAATAATAATAAAATATTCAAATGTAATATAGATTTCATAAATAATGGATAGAGATAATAGATTTAATTTATTATAATAGATTATAGATATCTATTAAATTAGATATATAATATACAGGGTGAGCCATTTTAAAAATAATTACATACTTTTTCTTAAAAACAATTTTTTTTATACTAATGGATTTGTTGACAAGGTCAAGTCCATATTTTCATCATATATCCCCCTCTGAACCCTACAACTTTTGTATAAAACATTTTTTTCCATCTTGCTTACTTTACGAGATATTTGCGTGCGTTGATTAAAATGACTCACCCTGTATAGACGTTTTTTCGATCTGTATTTCTTACTATGGGTGATTAATATTTACATTTGATGAAGAAAAACTTCACGGAATGTTTTGCATATAAATATTTTTTGCCATAAAACTAAATTTGAATAACATTTAAATGTATAAAACTGGTGAGAATAAATTTTTGACAACTTTCTGTAAATGTGTCAGAGGAAGAGAATGAATAAACAGAGGAAATAAATAGAGGAAAAAGAGCGTAGTATAAATAAGTGTTCCAAAAGAGACAGATATTTATAAAAAAAGAAACAAAAAAAATGAAACTTTGCATCAATGAAGAAGTATCATATTTATAAATATACAGTTGTACATTTTCTGAATATGAAATAAACAACTATTTACATATGCGAGCTTCGAATGGAATAAGGTAAAAACCGGTCTAAAACGTGCAACTGAATGAATCTCTCTCTCGTTCATCATCTTTTTTTATAATATATATATAGAGTATATTTTTAAAGCATTCTTTTTTTTTCATGAATGCCTGTTTCCTCTTGAGAAACGTAGCGTCACTCATGAATTAAAAATTATATCGCTCTTTTGAATTTTTATATATATATATATATATAGAAATTCCGAAGAGCGATTCGCACACGCGCGCGCAAAATATGTTTAGGCTTATTGTTAGTTTTTTTGTCATATATTCTTGTTTTTTCTCAGCTTAATTTTTTAAAAGATTATATATATACATATATCTATATATATGTATATTTTTTAAAAAATTAAGCCGAAAAAAACGAGATAGAGATAGACAGATAGATAGATAAATAGAGAGAGAGAGAGAGAGAGAGAATATAAGAAAAATCTAAGCCTAAACATATTTCGTGTATATGTATGTGTGAATTTATAATGCACATCGGTCAAAATTTTTCTTTTCTTTTTCTTCTTCGAACAAAAGGAAATGCAAACGGTTCGAGTGTGAATCATGACCTTCGTATCTAATCGCGCCATTAACTATGCACTCATGCGCGGGAAAATAGATAAGAGATCTGTGCGTGTGCTCGGTTTCGGGTGTGTGTCTAGTGATTTCTGACGATGGCGACTCGGCGATTGGCGGGATCAGCGGGGTGACAGGCTGTGCGAACGCCGTTAAACCGTCAAACGTCCTTCAAACGTTCCCTATCGATTCCCGCGCGTCTGTATATTACATCGCGGCTCGCGCCGAAGCATGCTAGTTGCTTAGTTGCTATCACGTCGGCATCGTCGGAAGTGACGGTGCGATCTTCGTAGGATCGGGTTAGCGAGGTTTGTTCGAGTATTACTCCGATTACAGATACATGCACGTTTCTTGTTTTTTCTTCTGCCCTCGCCAAACTCTCGCGCGAATGCATAGTTGACCTACATTCCGTCAAGCAAATTTTCATCGCCTCATGAGAGAAGAAAAATTTCATAATGACATTTAATAAACTTGCAGGGGAAAATATTGGAAATTAATATTTTCCGATAACCGTGTTATCTTTTATTCATATAGAGAAATCTTAGAGGTTATATGCGATGCGCGCGACATGTCTTACGACATAAATGTATACCCGTTTCATTTTCAATGCAGAAAACGCAAGTGAGTGCAACCGAATCTGGAATCCACGGGGGACGGAGAGAGAATTCGAGAGAGCGAGCTGGCTCTTTTTTTTCCGGACCAAAACCGAAACACGCACGCGAAGCGGCCCCGCAAAATGTCAACGGACAATGACAGCAGAACGTGTTGCAATCCGCGGCAGAACGGCGTCGTCCAACCGTTACTAACAGGTACGTCCTATAGTTCATGACGCATCGCTTATGATCTCGTTGACCGTCCTACGGGTTCAACTAACCTCAACATTGCTTCCCGTTGTCATAACATATTTCACAGCAAAGATTAATATAATAATAATAAAAGAATATAAAATAATTTGTGGCAATAAAGCCATAAGAGAAAAGCGTCTAATAATAAATGTACTATTATAAACAATTTTCTTGAATTGAAAGCACTCTTGCAAAAAAGTTACTTAAATATTATAATCGCAGTCGATTAAAGAAAATTCGATCGAAGTAATCGATCAATTTTACTTCAGAAAGGACTCCCGAAATTTATTTGAAGATATTTAATTTTTAAAAACTTTGTCAAAAATGAAAATAAATAGAAATATCACATACAGATTTATAGCGGGAAATCGCATTTTTTTTAAATTTTCTTGCAAAAAAAAAATCTATTATGAATCAGAGCACACATGTTCGATTCACGTGCACAAGGGAATCAATTTTCATAACTCTCGCGTGTTTAATCGTAAAAACATGTTTGCGTATCTCCGATGGATTTGGGGCTAAATACGCGAGGTTGTTCAAAGCGTGATCTCGTGAAAAAGAAACGTCAACATTGTCGGCGATACGAATTATATGAATCGAGAGAGCCACACGGCGTTCGCGATGGATCTGTGTACGCGAAATTGGGTTAAATTATTATTTATGACGGCGACCGGAAAGAGCACTTAACATACATACATCCTTGCTCGAATGTGTGATGTAAGAGCGTGATTATGTTTGTAAATATGGACTCTTCGTGATGATGTCAATCGCGCGCGTTCAATCTTCCCCGCCTCTCCTCTCTCTCTCTCTTTTTTAAGAGAAAAATTGGCATATCTTACAGAAAAGATCCATTTATCAATACAAGATAGTACTTAATGTAGTACTTAACATGCGACATAAAAACGCTTAAACCTCCTTTAGAGGTATATCTATATACTTAATATATATATATATATATATATATATATGTATCTCCTGCGATATGCACTGCACACGTAACTTTCAACATGAAATGATAGTGCAATTTTTTCTCCCTGAAAACACAATGCATATATTACGCAATTGATATTATATGTAAATTATTTTGAATATGTAAAATAATTTAAATTGTTTAGCTCAAGTAATTATTTCTTATATGACTTTTTTCTTTTTTTAGTGATAAATCACATTTTGTAAGTTCTTGTGGATAGTGCTAAAACTATTAAATGTTTAAAGTCGTTTTTATATATTTAAAGGAGAAATGATGAGGAGAAAATAAGAGGAATTTACTTTCAGATTTGTATCAAATTACCATGGCATACGCCTATTGGAAGAGTGGCAAAATGAATGACTATGCTGTATTTGATTTGTTCTTTCGCAAAAATCCTTTCCAGGGCGAATTCACGATCTTTGCCGGTCTTGAGGAGTGCATGAAGTTCTTGAATAAATTTCATTATTCCTGCAGTGGTATGTATTCACATAAGTTACTTGTTATGTATTTAATTCTTCTATGAATTATATTAAGTAATTTTATACTACAGATATCAAGTACCTGAAATCAACTATGCCTGCTACGGTAGACCAAAGATTCTTCGATTATTTACAAAGTCTTACTGCAAAAGATGTCACAATATATGCTATAGATGAAGGCTCTGTTGTATTTCCAAGGTGAGTTTAAAAAAAGATCTTATCTATATTATTCATAAAAATTTTAGAATCTCAGTAAAACAGAGTATTATAACAAAGATACAATTAGTTTTTAATTTAATAAATTAATTTGTAAAAATAATAACTAAAAGGATATTTTTAATAAAATTTTCAATTCTATTTTTGTTAATATAAATTTTACTTTCTTTTGCATAAATTGGTTGAACAGATTTAAATTTTCACATCTAACATGATTAAAATTTTTGTAGAGTTCCATTAATAAGAGTGGAAGGACCATTGATAATGGTACAGCTTTTGGAAACAACTCTATTAACGTTGGTGAACTACGCGAGTTTAATGGCGACTAATGCGGCGAGGTATCGGATGGTAGCCGGGAAAAATATAACGTTACTGGAATTTGGTCTTCGAAGAGCGCAAGGACCCGATGGAGGATTGAGTGCATCTAAATACAGCTATGTTGGTAAATACCTTGTCCATACTTACTTTAGAGCCATGCAAAATCACTTTTTGGAACATTTGAAATAGTTTGTTGGAATGTTAATCATTTTGAAATATCTTGTAGTTTAAGGAATTCTAAGATTAATTTTATTGAGCATTTTGCAAAATTTTCAATATTTTTGCCAAATATGACTAATGTTTTTCGTAAAATTACAATTGTGCAAAGTGTTCAATGCAATTCCTTCACAATTCAATTTTAGAATTCCTTAACATGTACAATATATTTCAAAGTGATCAAAATCACAGAAGCTTTCACTCAGCACAGTCATTTTAAATGCTCCAAAAAGTGATTGTTTTTGTATGGACATGCCTATTTATAATTAGTATTAGTTATATTAGTTATAAATTTCATGCCAATGCATTCGATTTATTGTATCATAAATTTGTTAGGATAAATTAACAGTGTATTAAAAAATTTTTTATTATATAATATTTTTATGTTGATAACCATATTCACGTTGCATATCTCTATTATCCTAATTATTATGCTTGACAATTGTGGAACATTCCAATGATCTACATTGAAGAAGCATATGATGTAACGTAGGAGCTTATGTACCATATATATTATACTAATATATGTTCAGTATTTGATTGCTGATAGAACAAGTAAATATTTCTTTCTATTTATAGTTTACACAAACAATGTTCACATATCCAATATTATATATTAAGTCTTAGATATGCAAAGTTTTGAATATCTGCATTTATCAATATAATATATATCACTGGCCATTAAAATTGCAACACACTATATATGCGAAGTTCCATTTTTGCATCGAATGCCCGCATCGATACCAAACAGTCGCTGGAAAATAAGAATTCCGTATCTCGTTCAATTTCAGAAATATTAGCCTATAATATCTTTAGTGATTCACCCTGTGTGTATATATATATATATATATAATGTTGCAGTCTTAATAGCCAGCAGTATATAATGAGCGATGGAAGTGTCTGGTACTACTCCACTGGTACACTATACTTAACAACTTCGTGAAAAGTGAAATCAATACATTGTTCCACTCAGTGCCAGTTTGTACTGCCTAGGTGATGAGTAACAGTTTAGGAGGTCAAGTTGAATGTGTATATATAACTTTTATATATATATATATATATATATATACATGTTATATATGATGGATCTAGATAAAGCTTATAGTCATATATTTGCATATATATGTAATATAAAGAAATTTAAATTAAATTTAACATAACTTGCTGTGTTACAGGTGGATTTGATGGTACTAGTAACGTTTTGGCTGGGAAATTGTTCAATATACCTGTATGCGGTACACATGCACATGCATACATAACATCCTTTACGAGCATCGATGATTTGCACGGAAAAGTAAGCATATTTGACAAGAAATCTTATCACCGGTTAAAACAAATTTTTGGAATTTCTCGGCAAATATAGTTGAAAGAAAATTATCTATCAAAAACAAATTTCTTAGGTTTATTATATTTCTCTTACAGACATTGCCGCACAAGCAAACGGGCGACGTTCTAGATCTACTGGAGCTTGCCTGCAAGCATCGTGAGACTATCGCCGATGATTTAGGAGCTTTAGCTTCACAGGCATCTGGTGGAGAATTAGCGGCTTTGATCAGTTACGCCGTTGCTTTCCCGGAAAGATTCACCGCTCTCGTGGACACATACGACGTTAAAAGGTACATATTTGCATCTCGCTCATTTTATTTACAACGCTTATATCTTTTTATTAAAATAGACAATTCGATGTTTGTTTAAAATTTGTAAATTTATCGTTAGCTTTTTGATTATATCTTTTTATGCATATAAAATTTGCATCAATTTTATAGCAATCTTTTCTAATCTTTTGCATGAGCTACTTTGCTATTTGGATTTATTTTTATATTAATATTTATTATCTCTTATAATTTCACTAATTGTTGTACACTATGCTTTTGTAATTATTATTACACACATGTGATTATTTTACTCCTATTGTATACTAATTTGATATTATAATTTTCACATTATATTTTTATCGAATTTAATATTACTAGTGTATAATATAGTATGCCTGAAATTTATTGATTAGATGAAGTATTTAAATTATACATAAAAATGCACGAATGTGTGATATTTTATAAGGATAGAGTCTTTTATAAATTTAAAGTTGATTGTTCAAGGCAAAACTGGCTTTTTAAAATATCTTATGTACATTATAACGCGCATTAAAACGTTACATATGTATCATATAAGTATACTAAAAGCGGTTAATATGTATATATGTAGCTTATATATTTATGTATGTGGTAGTCCATGCATACACATACACAGTTTAAACAGTACTTTGCATAGATAATACATGTTATCTATGTATATGATAATATATGTAATTATGGCTTCAAAGCTCAACTACATATTATGATTGTGTACAAAGTCTCTCTTTTACACAATCTTACCTCATGTCCCATATAGATGAATAAAAAATAATTGGCATATCTTAAAGTAAATTATATTTTAATCAGATAGAAGTATAGTGTCTCGCAATTCGATTTCGTTGGCGGCTATGTAACTTAGTTTTGTCAGCGCGGAGTTGATATAACAAGACATGTGTACGCACACATGGTAGCCTAATAGGAGTATGTTTATAGCATTGAGGCGTCGGCCAAGGGTCAGGCACAAGTGGCCAGCCTAAATGTAAAGAATAAACTTCTAACTAACGGGTCCAATACACATGCTCAAAACAGCGTGAGAAACAACCCATTTATATCAGAATCAACTACGCAACTTCACAAGAATGGCTTTTTAAGACGCGGCGAATTGGGTGAGCTCTATGTGAGGTACGATATTGCTCCGTTTGCCTGTTTTATAGAATGCAGATTTTTTTTTCTCTCGTTCTCGTCAACTTTACGCTTTATGGGTCTATATTATTCTTTTGTGATAGCAAAACTACACTCTTTCTGACATAACACTTTATAAAGAGATTTAAATCACTTTTTTTTTTTCAACAACATACAGAGAAAGTAATTTTTATATCTGTTTATAAATCAATAACTCTTCTCTTTTTCTCATTCTCTCTTTCCCCTTTCTTTTTTTATTAAAACTTTTTTTGATTTTTTAATAGTTGAAACAATATAATAATTTTATTCTCTACTATTTTTTACTTTCCTCTTAGAGAACGATATTAGAAAAAATATTTTGTAAAACAGGCAAATTGCAAACTGTATACATTATTACATTATGTTACTCTCATGATATGTCAGTTAGAAATAAAACGATAAGAATCTGATTTTTCATTACAATCTAGTTGTTAATCGTTACACTTGAGAACTTATATAGTGCCCCTCCCAATTCTGCCCTTTATTCTCTCAATAATTAATATATGGAGACATTTCGTTACACAAATGTTACATAAATTCTGATATATACATTTTGACTTTTATTCGAACAAATGCAATTTCAGGAAATTTTAGTTCTAAGATACTATATAAAAAGAAATATACTTCAAAAAACGAGTGTTTTCGAATCGAACGTTAAATTTACTATAATATTTTGGCTCTCTCTCTTTTTTTCTAATACATATAGTATCAATTGACCATATTTGCGTACATTTGCCAAAATAGTGTTCAAAGCTAAGTTTTATAAACGATTATAAATTCTTTTCACTGGAAACATTGATAGCAATATAATTGATTAAAACATATTGTCTTATTTACATTAATAATCTCTTAGCTATTTTATTATGCTTAATCTTTTATGTGCGATATTTTTTGTTTTAACTTAAAACTAAATCTAAGAAAGTGAATCTGATATTGTGGCAAAAAAAACATAAAGACAATATGATAAAAAAAAACCAACAAATTAATTTTTTTTAATTTGCTTGTTTTGGAGGAAGTATATATGTATATAAAAAAAGAATTGTGTCATAAGTTTAAAAGAGATAAAAATATATAAATTATATATTTCTTATATAAATTAAATATACACATTTGAACACACTTTTTAATTTTTCAAATCTTTTAACATTTTAATTAAACAAGCAAAAGAAAACAAGATTGTACTTTTACATAATATATTGTACTACTAAGTTTAGGCTTAATAATAATAAGTAATTATGTTACAATATTATAATATACAAAAAGTGTTATATGCATGATTAGATTTATTTTCAACATATATAATAATGTCAAGGGCTATCACAGTGACGTTTCATAAATACATATTTTACAAATAGGAGCGGACTTTTAAATTTCTGCGCTGTAGCATTAGCTTTGAACGACTTGGGATACAGAGCCATCGGGATCCGGATCGATAGCGGCGATTTAGCGTATCTCAGTAATGTGGCGAGAGATATTTTTGAGAAAATTGCTGTCAAGTATGATATACCTTGGTTCGCGAAACTGATGATTTGCGCGTCAAACGACATCAACGAGGAGACTATAATAAGCTTAAACGAGCAGGTAAAGGTGCGAGTAGAGATTTGCGAAACGCGAATGTATTAAAAATAGATAAATATTGTAACATAAAAATATGAATATTTTCTTAGAATCACAAAATCGATTGTTTCGGAATCGGAACGCATCTCGTTACGTGTCAGAGACAACCAGCATTGGGCTGCGTTTATAAAATGGTAGAAATCAACGACGAGCCGAGGATTAAGCTTAGTCAAGAGGTCGGGAAAGTCACGATACCAGGAAGAAAGGACGCCTACAGATTATACGGCTCGGACGGCTATGCATTGATAGACCTCTTGCAGAAAACGACGGAAGAGCCACCGCAAGTGATGCAAAAAGTTCTTTGCAGGCATCCATTTCAACAAACAAAAAGGGCTAACGTTACACCGTCCCGAGTAGAACCTTTGCACAAGGTATAATCTGATTGAAATAATAGATTTTCAGATAGTATTATGTAATATGTATTATGTGCCATGATGTATAAATGTAAATCAAAAAGAGTACTATACATTGCTCTGTTTAGTTGACATTCTTTGATTAATTTGCAATTCTGAAATTTTTCTTCACAAAAATTTGATTAGGCACCACTTCTCCATTGTATTTTAACATTCAGTGTTTAATATTTGTGTCTGTAGCTTTTGTTAATTAATAGCAATATGATATATATAGCAAAAATATTATTTTATAAGCATCTTTATATGTATAAATATATATATATATATATACACACACACACACACATCATTATTGTTATAAAGTAATATATTGATAATATCTATATATGACTTATAATCAATTACTTATAATAAATAAAAACATGCATATACACAGATATACTGGAAAGATGGCAAACTATGTCAACCATTACCAGCATTACAAGAAATTCGCAACAGAGTACAAGAATCGCTCAATACGTTGCGTAACGATCATAGAAGGAACTTGAATCCAACACCATACAAGGTAAGAATAAATATTTGATATTTTGAAAGCTACTCTTTAAGCTACTTTTTAAGGACAGATTCTCAAATGCAGGATATTTCTTGAGACCGAATCAGGCTTAAAATTATTTGAAACGAGCAAATCTAACAATATATTATATTTGCGTCTATAATATTTTTACATTATTTTTAATTATTATAAAATAGGATTTTTACTATTCATTGAGATTTACAAGAAATTATTCAAATGTGCTTTTCTTCATATTTATTACAGGTAGCTGTCAGCGATACTTTATATAGATTCATAGATGAGTTATGGTCTCAAAATGCCCCGATTGGAGAACTACGGTGAAGCATACTACTCTTATACAGGAGTATTGTTAAACTAGTCTCTAGCAATTATGAGTGATAACACAGAATCAGGATTTATAGATAAAATACACAATAAATCCTTCGCTAAAAGCAATGATAACGATCACCGCAATTGAGCATATATATGCGCATCGTCATTTCATATGATTGCGCTGTAGAATATATCATGAAAGAACAAGGGTCCTAAAAACATATTTTTTACAATTTCCATTGTTGAAAAATTCGAATTATATTATCATCACACACACAATCTATTTTGATAAATTTTTCGCAAATCATGATATAAAATATATAGTTTTACACAATTTATATAGAACGAATTATTTCGTTGCAGAAATCTATTTACAAATCTATTTATATTTCGTATCGCACACACATACACATGTACTTATTCTCTTTTTTCTTTATTTGTTAAGAAAAGTACAAAATAGTACATGTGTATGCGTGATTTTAGATATGCACAATTCAAATTCTCGAGTTTTAACAATGATAAACTTTCGAAAATTAATTTAAATNNNATATATATATGATTAAAGTATTACAAAGAATGGCAATATAAGGTAGCATAATAATTTAATTATACTTTTTGATTTCGATTATTGTTGTGTTATTGTTCTTTCTCTTCTTTTCTTTTTTGAACAGTTTGTTCCATGTTATATTTGTAAATTTCAATTATAATCTCGTGTTTATAATTGCTAAAGACTGCTTTAAAGATATTTCTGTATAAGAGTAATACATTTGATTATTTAACATTGTTTTTTTACACAAATGTACAAAGAGTGCAGCGTATTAATTATTATGTATATTTATAATTTTACATACATGTATAATATGTATAAAAGTCTGTATTGATAGAGAAAATTATGCATCAGATGAAAGAAAAAGAGAGAAAGAAAGGGAGTAAAATGTGTTATACCTCAAATTAACATCTGGCAATTAACAATCATGAGCGAATTCAAAAGCCAATCTTTTATTAGTTATGTTGTATGTAAATTTGTATGTTTTATGTAAATTTACGTAATGCTCCTAATTATTTCAATATTTGTTCAGGAAAAAGTTTGTCATATACTTGACCGAATAGTTTTTAATATTATCCTACATCTATACATGATTAAATAATTGTAGATTCTACATAATTCTCAATTATGATTTATCTTATATTTATAATATAGATCTGTTATCCTTTTATAATACAACTTGTTTATAGTAATGTATAAGTGTAATTGTAAAGTATATACCAATGTTTTTTTATAGTGAGAATAAATAGCATATAACTGTTATGCAGTTGTTTGATCATCAAACCATCTTATTAGATCTTGTATTCTATTTTTTTCTCTGGAATGTTTTCTGTAAAATCTTATTTTTATCATTTTTATTTGAAAGAGTACTTTTTGAATATCCACATTACATTAAGTCGGATAATACAGGAAAATAATTCAGGCTGCTGTATTTATACATTATACATATTACATTTATGCTATATTTTACATATTTTTTATCTGTATTATATACTTGTATATTGTAATAAATATAATAATAATAATAATAATATGTACAACACATGCATTCATACATGTAGTAGAACACAATGTTTACGAGCGCTTCTTATGCGATTTACGGAAGGTTTAAGAAAAAAAGGGAATTATTTGTACTAAATCCTGATATGAAATACGTGTAATCTAATTTGTAGATTCTACATAATTCTCAATTATGATTTATCTTATATTTATAATATAGATCTGTTATCCTTTTATAATACAACTTGTTTATAGTAATGTATAAGTGTAATTGTAAAGTATATACCAATGTTTTTTTATAGTGAGAATAAATAGCATATAACTGTTATGCAGTTGTTTGATCATCAAACCATCTTATTAGATCTTGTATTCTATTTTTTTCTCTGGAATGTTTTCTGTAAAATCTTATTTTTATCATTTTTATTTGAAAGAGTACTTTTTGAATATCCACATTACATTAAGTCGGATAATACAGGAAAATAATTCAGGCTGCTGTATTTATACATTATACATATTACATTTATGCTATATTTTTATTATATTTATAACTATAGATTTATTGTTTTTTTTTTTTTTTTTACAATCTAAAATATTCATCAAAATATGTATATTTTAAAAATATCTACTCGATATTTTATTCATAACTTTTTATTCGATATTTTAAAAACAATATAGAAAAAATATTGAATATTTGATAATATTGATTAAGGATAAACATCTTTAATATTTATCAATAATCAATGTGTAATATATATATGTACATATATAGTAAATATATATGTTGTATGTACACACATACACACACTACCACGATCTGTTCTTTATAGCTGAACTGATTGCACTAGTTTGGAGCTTATCTTTCTCCTTCCAATGGGTAGAGAAAAAGATAAACTCTGAACTAGTGCAGCCGTGCAGTCAGTTCAGTTATAAAGAATAGAGACTCATAGTAGTAGCGAAAAACACACGCGTTACTACAATGGGAGGAATATGCACAATAGTAATTTAAAGGAAATTATATTATGATAATCAGCTGATACATAATAGATCATTATGCCTATTTCGAAAAAGCTTTGACTCGTCAAGTTGAATAGAATCAGTAAAAACGAGAATTAGAATAAAAATGTAAAAATGTATCGTTGAGGTTATAATCAAGGTCAGTAAATTAATATAAACCAGTTCTAGGTTTAAAGTTAAAGGTTAATAACACACACATTTATTGATAATTTAATATTGAAATGCATAATAATTTATTTTTGTATTAAAGAAATGTTTTCTTTCAGCATAAAATAAATCAGGATAAGAATAGTGCATATCATCGAGAGAATATCTGTCTGATAAATTATTATCTTTACACACACATATACACAAAATTATATACATATAATATTTTAATAGAAATTTTTTTATAAAATGGGTAAACTCATGCATAACAACAAATTGATTTTATGTATCACATGTATGTGTGAAAATTAGATTTACATATTGTAAATATAGAGATTTATATATTTATCGTGAGGCATGTCTCAAATCCAGTATATAAAAATTTGTATGAAGATTGTTAAAAAACTATGTCCATTAGTGACATTAATATCCACTATATTTGTTATTGTGATTACTATTTACATCAATCAGAAGATCTCTCCAATTTTTGTCTTTCTCTGTATACAAGTGTACCTGAATTGGTACTCGATATATAGCATCAGTTACAAATCAAATCCAATGAAAGTTAAAGAAATACAAGATAACTTGTACAGTGTGATCGCTCAACAGCGCAAGTTTGAGCAACCACTGGCTAATATACAGCAGCCGCCAGCTTACAACACGACCTACAGATTTTGGCATTGTGAGAGATGTCAGAGTTACATGTGCAAGCCGACGCAGCATTGCTCCTTCTGCCGAAAGTGTTTTCACTTCAAGGATCATCACTGCTTCTTTTTAGGCGCTTGTGTACTGCGCCAGAATATGGGCAACTTTATATTATTTTGCTTTTATACTTCGCTGACATGTCTGTACTCTCTATGCGTGCTAGGACCGTACATGTACGAGAACATTAATCACATAGTGAAAACCGACGCGGATTACTTTAATATATTTCTGAACTTTTGCTTCCCTATCGCTCTGGCAAGACTGTTGCACTCCAGGGATAGTTCGAGTATACTTCTAGTCACAATATTCGACATGCTGATGTCGATTTTGTGCATTTGTCTGGTACTTGGCATTTGGAAACTGCACAGTTGTTTGACCGGCAAACAACGTTACGTGAACGTAACGGGAAAACAGAATTTAAAGGAAATCTTTGGAAGCTACGGTCTATCAAATATTATCTTTCCATATAATGGTCTCATAGGCACAAGAGATATTAATAGCAAATATGAACTAAAGGAAGTATAAAACTAGTCAGATGAACAATGGATCGAGATTAAGTCCAACACATATTTTTTATCTGTATTATATACTTGTATATTGTAATAAATATAATAATAATAATAATAATATGTACAACACATGCATTCATACATGTAGTAGAACACAATGTTTACGAGCGCTTCTTATGCGATTTACGGAAGGTTTAAGAAAAAAAGGGAATTATTTGTACTAAATCCTGATATGAAATACGTGTAATCTAATCCCTATTAAGAAATATATGACATTGTTTCGCAAAATGACAAAATTGATACAATTGCTACGATAATAAAAATGTGATAGGCTAGAAATATTTTTTTAACTTGAATCCAATATAATTCTTATATTATTTCGCGAATTTTAAATAACTAATTATTTAAAAATTCTGTTTTCTTTTTTTTTAAATAAATTATAATTTTGTGAAATTCTTGTAAGTGTAATTTTATGATGGATTCAACTAGCCCCATAAGAAAATATCAATATGAAATAATTGAATAATGATTTTATCAATAGAATAATGTAATGCATTTTCCTCTAATTTATTTATGCATTTGCTTGTAGATAATGCTAAAAAAGTAGCTATAGAAGTTGCCTTTATAATTCCGTATGTCGATGATGTTGTGCATTGAAGTCATTGGGATGAACGAACATTCCCTCCACTGTTGTCCATTGTGTGTGAGGATTATTTGAAGAATATTCGCATATTACTTCCATCTGTCCACTTATCGGAGCACCGTAAGTTCTGCCACTGACAGCTAAATATCTGAAGATATAACATTTAAAAGATTAAAGCTATATGCTATCTATTTTCACTATAAAAAAAAAATATATGTAATATACATAATTATCCTGCAGATTTGTGATGTTTTCTTTTATTTACATTTAAATTCATAGAGGATTGTATATACTTACGTCTTAGTATCAACATGCTTCAACTTAATAGCATCATCTCTCTCCCAAAGATCATTATCGCACATTAACATCCAGTTGTCACCAGTATCACCCTCTCCTCTGTGATCTCCATATGCCGATACTTCCTGCTTTCCACTCAAGGGTGAACTAACGAGATGTGAGTGAAGATTTTTCTTTGTTGTAGTGTGTTCCAATCTAATAACATCTCCACATTTGATTGGTTTCCTATAAAAAAAATGTCCACAACTTTGCTCGTATACAAATATATCATATATAGTTGGCAAAAAGTTGTATGATTATAAGTTATATGGCTTACCCTCGTATGCAATGTTTTCCTGATTCTGCTTTAATAAGCCAGTAGGAATCACCATCTTCTTTGATATTTGTACCTGTTACAGATTGCTGTCCACTTCCAGTTCCATATTTGACTTCGTGGGAATGTAGCCTCACATTATAATTTACATTCATTAGTTTCAGTACAGAGCCGCAAGTTACATGTTGTGTTCCTTTAGCTGCAAAATATTTTAATAAAATTAGTATATTTAAATAAAAATTACACACACAAATTAATAATTATGTCAAATATTTATATATTCAATTATGCATATAAAAAATATTTGTGTAATTAAACATATTTACAGTATTAATTATAATTATGATCAATTGTATCACATGTATAAAAACGCATCACAAAACAAATCATTGGTAATATATTGAAATACAATACACATAACACGTACAGCATGATAGTAATAACATAACCCATAAGTATATATATTTATTGATAATTAATCTTGTAAAAAAAATATGAAGAATACCTTGAATGCAACTTATATAAAGTGAAAGTATTGTGAAGCTTGAAAGGAGCAGACGCATAGCATAATCCATCATGATCGTCTCTTGGCAATAATTGACACAAAGAAAATTTGAGTGAAAAAGCGATGCCGGCACGATGATATAGGGGCGCCAATCACAGCTGATCACAGCCACAATAGGGGCGTAAGGACGTGTTAGCTTTCCATTGGTCACAATTCATGTTCCACGTGTTTAACGTAAGTCTGACACTAGAGCGATGTTTTTTTTGCCCTTTTTATACATTATATATATATATATATATATATATCATACATGAGACTTACCAATATCTAATACAAATATCAATTAAATTTAGATATGACAGAAAAAATAAGCAATTTAAAAAATATATTTTATTAGTATTTGCAACTAAAAAAATATATATTTGAAAAAGATAAGAAAAAAACGTTTAAACTTCTTTCTTTCAATTTAAATTATTTTATCTCTTCTCTTTACTAACAATATGTATATTTATAATATAGTTTGATACACATAATATAAAATTATTTACATATTGTTAATAAAAGAAGCAAAAAGAATAATTAATAAATTGATTAAATTTTTAAAGTTTAATTAAATTTTCTTGACTGAAAAAGTATACACAGATATAATTTTTGTATTGTAGAAGTGACAGAATATATAATGCATGAAATAATTTTCAAATTGGAAGAGGTAAATATATAATGCGAGACACAATTTTTATATATAACAAATATATATTTTATACTGCATTGGACCCATATTCATTATTTAAAAATGTTTTACATACTAATGTCTTCCCCCAATTTAACAATTATTAGACTATATATTTTAAAGATATGGACTGTTCTTGGTTTTTTACTTATAAAGATGGACTATAATTAACAGAATATTATAAAGTGAAATATTATACTCTTGTATATATATATCATATTTTATCTCACAGTATATTAAAAAGAAGCATGCATATGAAAGAATTAAGGAAACACACATAAATTAATTAACACATATAAAGAACTTATATTATTCGACGTTAATAAATTTTATTATTTATTAGAAAAATGCAATGTATAAATTAACTAATTCTTCTCATATAATGTTTTTGTAAAAAATATTTCCCCTCTTACGCCTTATCCAATAATTATATCTTAATATTACGTAATATTTTACCTTGGCTTTAAAAATCTTATCAAATCAAATAATTGATATTTGCAAAACGTATCTTGCTTCCAATATGATTTAGGTACAAGCTATTTTAAAGAGAACAGTGGAATGTGCCTCTTTTTAGAATAACTTTCATACATTCATAAACATGCAATGAGAAATTACCCAAATATAGCATTGCTATATCTTGCATTATTCAAATATAGCGCATATCTTGTTTCAATAAATGGATGACCAAAATGGCATGTATCATTAGTATTCAATGAGTTTTGGACGGGTTTTAACATAAATGTACGCTGCTATTATCACAAATATTGCAGCTATAGTGGGCAATACAATTGTGAACACTCTCTGCTTGTTTTCCAGGAATTCCTTTTTCCGTTCTTTTTTCTGTTTGTTGGTCTCTTTCGTCTTTCCCTTTAATTGCCTCATATTTTTGCCACTGCAAATCAATGAAATTATATTAAAATAAAAATTTATTTATGTTTATCTTTTATATTAATATTTACTAAATTAATGGAAAGAGAGGATATATATGAAAATATCAAATATATGGTTTAATTTTTTAAATGGATGACCAAAATGGCATGTATCATTAGTATTCAATGAGTTTTGGACGGGTTTTAACATAAATGTACGCTGCTATTATCACAAATATTGCAGCTATAGTGGGCAATACAATTGTGAACACTCTCTGCTTGTTTTCCAGGAATTCCTTTTTCCGTTCTTTTTTCTGTTTGTTGGTCTCTTTCGTCTTTCCCTTTAATTGCCTCATATTTTTGCCACTGCAAATCAATGAAATTATATTAAAATAAAAATTTATTTATGTTTATCTTTTATATTAATATTTACTAAATTAATGGAAAGAGAGGATATATATGAAAATATCGAATATATGGTTTAATTTTTTAACTAGTATTTTATTAAATATTATATTTAATTATTAAAAAAAAAAATGAAATTTTATAAAATATCAGCGCGCCATAGATTTTTTTAAATTACAATAAAAAATTTAAGATGTATATTTATATCGGAAAGCGACAATAATCGCGAAACGAATTGTACTTATCGCACATATGTTTAATAACATTCTTTGACACCGACGTCTACGCGCGCAGACTTTATAAAATAAATAATTGAAAATCGCGTATGTGTATGCGAAACGCGTTTCAATCTCGTCATGAACAAATCGAGAAGCATCGAGATACCGATACCTTGAACTTCACTCGCAGAACTCGCAGCGAACAGATATGAGAAAGAAGTCCAAAAAGACAAGGCCACACGATCGTCAGTCGCTGGTGCAAATTAGATTTGCGTACATGACATGTAGCGGAACGATTGGCACGGAGATGTACCAGCTGTGCCACCACTTTCATACGTACAGACGTACAGGTGATTGCGCCAAATACGTTCAGAAAACGGATATTTGAATCCACATCCAACATGTTTTTCTTGCCTAAAGCCCGTATCACACTACGCATTGAAGATTGATAGCGTTTTTGAATGTAGCAGGTTTAATAGCTCTGACATGAGAGCGATTAATGATGTCATTGCATCGTCTCTGCCAATAAAAGGCTTGAATTCATAGTAAAATATAGTGATTAATTAATCTGGGTTGGATTAATCTGTTCATTCGAAAACGCTATTTGTTTCCGAGAAAGCCATCAAACGGCACTTGGGAGAGCTTTTCGCCGAGAAAGATAGGAAGTTCTTTGAGCGACGAATTATGGAGCTGCCCAAAAGACTGTGTTCCGATTTCCCATCCGAGTGCACCCGATATTATAGTATATGTCACGTATACTATAATATCGGGTGCACTCGGATGGGGAATCGGAACACAGCAAAAGATGGCAAAATATAGTGGATCAAAACGGCCAATACATTGTTGAATAAAATTATTGCCTTCTATGAAAAAATCGTCTCTCATTTATACTCTATAAAAAAACCGAATTTGTTGGCCAACCCAATACTTCAATCGTATTAAATATTATACTGTCCAATCACAGCCGTTCCATTCTTTAAAGGAATGATTATGATTGGCCAATGTAGTAATTAGTATGTATTAAACTTTTTGGTGTAAACTAGGTCAAGGATTAAGGATGTGTGTATATCCATGCGTTTATATCATTTTTTTTTTACGTTATCGAATGTGCGGGATAAGATTTAAAGTTGATATATATACCGATAAAAGAAATCAAAACGTAAAGAGTATTAGAATATTGAAAAAAAGAGTGTAATAATCTCGGAGATCACGAAGAGGAAGGAAGATTTGGGAAAAACATTTATGTTTATTTAACATAAGGGTTATGTGCTTCCAAAAACCTGATCGAACATTATGGAGAAGACGCGGGAATGTAGTAATCTTTCCTCAGACACATTTATGAAACAAAATTTGACAGCATTAAATCTGCGCGATAATCAAAACGGGATAATAAATAATGGAACGGAACAGAGTACTCAGACAACTTTTTTCAAAAGAAGAAAAAACCCAAGACAGCGAAAGAAAAAATGTATTCCTTCGCAAATGAATAACACGGGAACCGTTATAGAAACAAATGATTCAAATAAATCACGCAGTTTGTATCTCGCTAATAAAGAAGATGTTAATAATACTTCCATTTTGCCAGAAACACCAGATTTATCAAATACTAGAACTGAAGAGGATAAGAGGGCAGGCAATACGATTAATAAAAATACTTGCATCTCGGAAAATTTATTAAAAGAAGATACTAAAAAAGTTTCTAGCACGAAAAAGAAGGAAGGTAGAGAGACAATCAATTCTTTGCTACAGAACGACAAGCAAACCAGAATAAATAATTTGATTGATAAAGTTCACACTTTACAGCTTAGTAAGAAAGACAATGAGAATGCTTTTGTTTCATTAAATACAGCTGCTTTACCAAATACTGCAAAACACGATGAGATAGATATAAATGATAAGAGTACATCTACACTAGAAAGCTTATCAACAGAGGATATTCGGGAAACTTCCCGTGTGAGGAAGAAGAGAAATAGAAAAGTAAACAATTTTATGCAAAAGAACGACAAGCAAACTGATCTAAAAACAGATATTTTGAAGCCTGAAGCTCATTCTTTGCAGCTTATTAATAATTGCAACAATGTTTCGCCGAAGACTACTGATATACCGAGCACTAATGCTGTGGAACATAAAAGCATGGAGAATACAAACGACAAAGATATTTCTACTTTGCAAGATCCAAAATTTACTTTTTTTGAAATCGATTACGAGTTCCACGAAGCAAATCACGCGATAATCGAGACATTTGCTCTCAATATATATTTTTCTTTATGCAACGATGACAGGAAAACTTATTGCTTAGTGTGTGATAATACCTTTCAAGTTCAAAACAATTCTAATTTACGGAAAAATCTTTATAGACATATACAATCAGACAATCACGTTGGATTATTGACCCAGATGATAGAGGATGACAAGAAATTTTTGAAGGCTGGAAAACTTTTCAGTAAGCTGGGATTGGCACGAGAATGTATGAGAAGCAAAGATGATATTATTGAATGCTTGTTATGCGATAGTCAGAATTTCGTTAGCAAGGTGCCGAATAACGATCTATTGTTACACGAACACATATTAAGTAGCAAGCATCAAAATTTCAAAGGATCCTGGACGTCGTCGGTAAAGGATATACTGCGAGACATTCATTATCACTTCCGAAGCATGTACAATGTCAAGAAGTATTGTTGCGAATTTTGCAATTACGAAAGCGCATCAGAAATCTGTTTCGCGAAACATTTGCGTGTACCTTATCACACGTCACGATTATTACAATTTCCCGATCATACAGAGAGATTTAAGTTTTATTTTTGCGCCGCATGCTTTTTCTTATGGTTCGGAAGTTCCGATATGTATGATCGACATTGTGAGCAGTTCGAGCACAAACACAGGATAATGTATGGTTCTGATCTCGATCATTTGTCAGAAGAAATAATACAACTCTTAATTATGTGCAATCAGAATGCTGAAGCTTTCCTTATGCTGTCCAATAGTGTATGTTACGATAAAACAATTGATTACATATTGTGTGACTTGATAACTGACATGCACAGATATATTACAAACATAAAAGCTTATCCTTTTGGATCCAGGATTTCAGATTTAGGTTTCCCTGACAGTGACATTGACATCTTCCTTGATTGTGGTAAGTCTAGTCTTAATCTGTAATGTAATTTATATACTGCATCTTTTTGTCTATATATATGATTTACATCCAAATGATAATTCAAATATTAAAAACTATATGTTATATTTCCTATAAATTAGGGGTATTAACATTTTAATATTATGATTTTCTATAAATTATTTACTATGCAAATATTTATATCTCAATCATTTTAATATCAATCATATATGTATAAGTTGTACATATATCCATACAATTTTGGAATATTAAAAATAACACACATGTGTGTAATTAAGAAAAGAATTACATATAAAATTTTACTTATTTGAAATATATAATAAGGTAGCATATATAACAATTTGAAAATTGTCTTTTCCAGCAAGCTTTTTCTTTTTTTTTTTTTTTTTTGTGGGAAAGAAAATTATGCATTCTTTTATCTATTAATATTTTGACTTTTATTCTATGATTTTATATAATACAGATAATATGTATGAAGGAAGAAATTCATCACATCATCATTGTGAGGTTCTCATTACATCAATTGTACATTATTTGTCTCTTAATAAACGAATGTGGAAAGTGCAGGAAATGATATTGCATAGTAGAACACCAATTATAAAAGTGCAACATATTCCCTCAGGATTTATCTGTGACATTTCAGTTACAAATGGCTTAGCAGTGGAAAATACAAAAATAATTAAGTAAGTTTTTTGCTCCCACCTGACTTAATATAATAGAAATTTCTTTAATATCATATGCTGTATTTATGTATTGCAAATAAACAAAAAATTGTTTTCTCAAGGTGTTTTAATCATGCTTTTCCACTATGTCGAAAAATGGTTTTATTTCTTAAACAATGGTTGCGCAGCTGTGGTTTATTAGGATCGCGTCTTATAACAAGCTATGCTCTCACATGGTGCGTTATTTTTTATCTGCAAACTCTATTAGTATTTCCCAGTATCTCACAACTAATAAAATTGAAAAATAGCTCATGGCGGATCAGTGGTAAGTGGTGTGTGATTATACGTATACATATATGTATATGTATATAGAACGCAATAAATTTTTTTCAAAATTCAATTTGATTTTAATAAATAAATTGGTGTTAAAAAAATTTTATTAACCAAATTTTGCAATATAAGAATTATTTTACTAATTATATATTCGATTTATATGTATTATATACTCTTATTGTGTACTTAATTTATATTCATCTCAGTATACTTATTATTTTTTTTTTATTTAGGTTGGGAAGTTGGTGTAAGCTACAATTTTCCTGTTAGAAGGCTAAATCACACTTTCGAAGAGCTTTTATTAGGATTTTTTATGTTTTATGCGAATTTTAACTACAAAAGTCATGTGATCTGTCCGTTATTGGGTCAGCCGATAGAAAAAAGTGCGTTTAACAAACTGTCGAATTTACCGCAAGATATGGCACCATATATTGCTTATATGCGTGACGCTTGTACGCAAGAGAAGTCTCAAGGTTTTTCCGTATCGTCATTGTGTGTGCAAGATCCATTCGATTTATCGCACAATCTTACGAAGGCGGTACATAATCGTAAGTTGAACAAGTTTCAGAGCAATTGCAATTATAGTGCAAAAATACTGAAGAAGACTTTTCCGTACCTGAAGCCACCATTATTATCTTAAGTTGATCAATATTTGTACAGAAAAAAAAAATCTGTATTTAACTTTTTCTCTTGATAATGTTACATTACATAACATTACTTGATAACATTATTTTTTTTACATCTTTATATAATGACGATTGTTAATAATTGATAACTCAAAAAAATCATGGAATTGAATTTTTTCATATTAATCATGACACTTTTATTTATATATGTTTTGATATATTATTTTCACGAATTGATATAATATTGATATATCTTAATTTAGAGATTGAATATCGAAATAATTTTGTTAGCGATTATATGCCGGTATTGTGTATACCTCTATTGTTAGAAACATGCAATTCTAAAAATCTTTAATTAATAACGGTATTGGATATTGAATATCGGTATAATTGAGATTTTTATGCCGGTATTACTCTATTATTATTTTATTTGATATTAATACTATTAAATAAATCAGATTAATAAAGATAATTACTCCTTAATCTCATTATTAACAATATTTATCAATCAATATCCTAAACTATCGATGCCGAGATATGTATATCGAATATCAATATCTGTTTGGAATGTCAAGTATAACATTGTACATTGACAATATTAACGATATTAAATTATCTTTATTAGTTTGACTGATTTAATATAATATTTAATAATATAATATCAATATAATACTGGTATTCTACCAGTATTATATTGGTCTAATGTATATACTGGTATTATAAAAATTTTGGTCATATACCGGTATTCGACATCCAATATCGATATAAATTAAAAATTCTTAGATTTGCGGTTTTGTAATGGTAAAAAAGATATATACATGATACATGATGATATTGGTAAATTGTTGGAGATTATTTCGTTATTCAATTTTCCAATCAAAAATTATTAGTATATAAGCGATATTTTTCATATCGCATATTCGTAATCATTGCTTGATACATCATTAGATTAATAAATATATCTTTTTCTCACTAGATACTTTTGTTAATTGATTAAAAGTATCTATTTTTTAGTTTTATTAGTATAATTAATTTTTGATAATTAGTTTTTAAATATAATACTTGTACTGTGATGTCATTACATCTATGTTGTTTTATCAAAAAAGTTATAAAAAATATACATATTGCTTTAAATTATTAAAATCTGAATTTTTTAAATCCATTTAATTTATTATATATGTATAATGAGAAAGTAAGTACACTAAACTATTATTGTTTTTCGATTTAAAGGATTAATATATATATA